AATTATGGCGTTAGACTTCGCTGCAGATTTCCTATCTCACCCTGTATATGTTCATGGTCAGCATAAAAGTCGATTTAATTAAACGTCTCATTATTAAACGTAGAGCTTAAACATTTGGCACAATAGTTTGGTATTGAAAATGAGATATATCGGTCCGTTTTGGTATAGCCCCATATAACTTTATCTCCCGATAATCGGTATTTGGATGATTTTCGCAAAATTTTTTCACGGATTTGTCAAAAAATTGGTATTTGTAGGTCATAATGGGTTCTAGCTCCGGTGGCGGAACATTGCATATATAAGTCCACATTTTGATCAGTTTTGTCACATTTATTTACGGATCTGTCTAAAAATTAGTATATGTATAATGGGTTCTGGCCTCTGCAGCAGAAATTGATAATCCTGGTCACATTCACCCACGAAATTGTTTCAAATTTGTTATTTTAAAAGATTTGGTTGATGACAATCTTTAAGTATAAAATATATATAATATAACGGTCTCACCCACTTTAGGGTATGGTATGGTGGTATGGTATATCCAAACGGTATTTGTAGTTTAAAATAGAACACATTTGAATTCAGATACTTTTATAAAAATACGTTTTCTTTACTCACAACTAGAAGGTATTATATTTGTATACCCTACAAAAATTATGTAACACCTCGAAATATTGGTTCCACATAGGAAAGTATACATAGATCTTCCTATCTCGCCGAGCTGAGTCGATCTAGCTATGTATGTCCGTCCGTCTGTCCACCTGTCCATGTTAATTTGTAATCACTCTACAGGTCGCAATTATGGCCCGCTTTTCACGAAATTTAGAATGGAGGTGGGGCTAGAGCCAGAATAGTTGCAGTTGCTCTTCAGGTCGCAATTATAGACCGATCGACACGGAAGTTAGCATGGGGCTAGAGCTTAGGGCTGGGCAGAAGCCTTTCAATTTTGATGGTCACCAGGTAATATTTAGTGGGTGAAATAAACCATAATATTTGTCTTAAATTAAAGTCAAATATTCCATTAAACCGCGAATATTTTTAATCCCGACGAAATCACAAATAAACGAACAGGCAATTTCTGACTTTTCCGTAGATGCCGATAGTAAATATTTCGGATATATGTAGCGAAATATATAAAATGTGTATATACAAAGGAAAAGGATGCTAGAATGCTTTTATCCCAAGAATGGCTGGGCTGATTTGGCAAATTTTGTCAATTTAGAAAGCCCTCTTGGCATAAAAGAATATAATATAAAAAATTGCATAAAAAGATGCCAATAAGGATGCTAATATAGATTTTGTAGTATTTTGTGAAATTTTTTTCATTTTTCAAATTTTGTATCGCATGCAATTTTTTTAATTTGACTTATACTATTGAAGTTTATATTTTGTAATATTTTTTCATTATTATTAGGGTTAGGGTTATTATATATTAGGGTTAGGGTTATTATATATTATTATTGCAATTATCGTCCGATCCTCACGAAAGTTTTCACAAGAGTAGGGTCAGGCTCAGAAGGGCTAGGCCTATAGTTTTCAAAGATGTATATATTTTGGGGTTGAAATGGGCCAACAACTAAAAATGTTCCTGATTTTGCAGCCGTTATAAAGGTCAGAAATGGAAACCAAAGGACACGAAATCTCGTCGTTGACGAATATAGCCAAATATCGTAGACAAATTATATTGATGAGTCTAAATTTGGAGATACAGAGGGGCCTCTGGAATTTGGAGATGATCGCAAAATATATAGCGGTTCAAATGAATCAAAACAGAAAAATTTTCCTGAACACACAATTGAAACCAATCGACACGGAATTTTGCATGAGAATAGAGTTAAGGACAGAGAAGGAGTCTAGTATTTTGGAAGACCATTGAATTATATTTAGCTGTAAAATAAACCACAACACCTAACTGCATGACGGAGTGCTAAATAGTGGGCAAATGTCCGTGGTGAAAAAGCTAAGGGTAATATCTGGGCGTTGCTCTATAAAAAGCGAAATCTTCCAATATGGATTTGGACATAAGGCAGCTTCTACCATATTATGGTGTTGTAGAGTATCACATAGTCGGCCCTGCCCTACTATAGCCTTTGCTTACTTGTTTTTCTCATAATATTATTTTATAGGGTAGTATGTGATCGTCTATGCTCATTGATTTTTATTCAAAAAGAAGCTGTCCAAAAGCGAATTACTATTGGTTTTTCAAATGGAAGGTAGTAATAAATTATTCAGGCCTGAATATAAAAAAATAATAAATTATAAAAAGTGCAAGGAAACTAAAACAGATTGGCCTACATTAACAAAAGCCGAGAAGCAATAGTTTCTTAATAGAATTCGAAAAATGTCGTGCATTTTCAAAAAAAAGTGCATTATTCATTGTCCACATATATATAATACAATGTATTTCACTATTTTTAACGTCAAAAGAAACTCACCTTCTTCATTGAGTCATTTTTACTCAATCTTAATTTTTGGTCATTGCGTATCGCTTGTAAAAAGAGTTCCCTCTTTGTTATTGTTGTTCTTATCTAGCTTTCTTCCAATTCTATGAGGTAATTCAGCTTATCTTATCGTTTTCAGGTGTGGTGAAATATTCTTCCCGAATTACTTCCCAATGCAAGCAAATGGAATACAAAGTACAGATACTAGACGACCTATGTTTAATTTGTTTCCAGAATTTAGGAAATACTGTCGAGGTATTAATAGGTTAGATAAATTTTGAGAGAGCAAAACATGTGTAGACTTTTTTTTTTTGCTCAGTACAATATGTCAACAAATGTTACTCATTACATATGACTGGACAAAGAGAGGGCTTATCTAATCGGCTGTTGAGGTGAGCTACTTTAAAATGTTGGTGGAATTGGTTTCAAATGGAAATTATACCTGTTAACGTTTGAACATCTATAACCAAACATTTGTCGGATATTTCTTCGGTGTGGTGTGCAACATCAGTCCTGTGTGAGGGAGTAGAGCAATAAAAGTCGAATATTATTCAGACCAAACAAGTTTTCAAACCTTTATGTCGAATATACAATTTTTTTACAACACAAATACATTAAAAGGTCAACGGACTATTACAGAGATGCCGATAGCCAAGATATCGGATATAAAGCAAAATAGTTATAATCTTTATGTAAAAGAAATTGACAACTGATTTTCACAATTCTCCTCAATGGTCTCTTGCCAAAAAGGGTAAAATTTAAGAAAATCTCGTAAAAATATGCCACTAAAAAGTGAATATTTTTGTAGAATTTTTTTTTTGTCATATTTTTATTGCATGCAATTTTTTTTTCAATTTTACTTACAATTTTGAATTGTACATTTCCTAAAGTTCTTGTACGGCCCGCAACACCATGTGTTGAGGGTATTATATACAGATAGCAATTATCGTCCGATTCTCATGAAATGTTGCATGGGGATTGGATTAAAAAATTTAATTTTCCTGATTTTGCACTAGCTCTACAGGTCGCAATTGAATACTAATCGACATGAAATTTTTGAATGAGGAGAGAGTTAAGGACAGGGAAGAAGTCGAGCATCTTGGATGATCATTGGATTATATTTAGCGGTAAAATGGACTACAACTTTCGTTGAATAAAATTTGAGTAATTAACAACATGGCGGAATGTGTAAATAAGGGTAACATCTGGGTATTGTTCTATGACATTATTTTAAAAACGAAATTTTCCAAAATTGATTTGGACTTAAGGGGGGTTCCAACATATTGTAGTGTTATAGGGTATCACATGGTTGGCCCCGTACGACTCTAGCCTTTGCTTACTTGTTAGTATGTCTGGTAAACCAGCTCGAAATCAAAAAATAAATAAATAAATTGGGACATCTGCACCCCATTAGTTACCCCCTTTCCTACATAGTATGGAGGGTATATTATGTTTGCCAATCCGTTTGTAACTCCTCGAAACATAAATTTTAGACAACACAAAGTATATATATTCTTGATCAGCATAAAATTCTATGTCCATTTAGTGATGTCCGGCCGTCTGTCTGTCAGTCTGTGAAAATCACTATAGCCTCCGAACTAATTGGAGTAGGTCGATAAAAAATTACTTCAATGTGTGTTTGGTCTGCAGGACTTTTGTTATTGAAAATGTGATATATTGGCCCACGTTTAGGTACAGCCCCCATATAACGGCACCTCCCGATATTCGGTATTTTGATGATTTCAGCGACATTATTCACCGGAATTGTATCAAATTTCGCATTTGAAGAACTACAGCCTGTGACTGACAATTGTCTGTGCAGGTCCACGTCTTCGTATAGCCCCCATATAACGGTACCTCCCTATATTCGGTATTTTGATGATTTTAGAGCCATTATTCACCGGAATTGTTTCAAATTTGGTATTTGAGATTCGTAATGGATACTACAGCATATGGCAGAAAATTGTCTGTGCAGGTCCATGTCTTCGTATAGCCTCCATATAACGGTACCTCCCTATATTCGGTATTTTGATGATTTCAGCGACATTATTCACCGGAATTGTTTCAAATTTGGTATTTAAAGTTCGTAATGGGAACTACAGTCTGTGACAGAAAAATGTCTATACAGATCCAGGTCTTCGTATGGGCCCCATATATCAGTACCTCCCTATATTCGGTATTTTGACGAGTTTAGGTACAATACCCATCGAAATTGTTTGAGATGTCGTATTTGACGTTAGTAATGGATTCTATAGCCTGTGACAGAAAATTGTCTATGCTGGTTCAGGTCTTCGCACAGCTCCGATATAATGGTACCTTCCTATATATGATATTTTGATGATTTTAGCTACATTATTCATCGCCAGCTTATACGATTTTGTTGTAATTACCAAAAATAAGCCTTCGTGTACTCTCACCAATATTAAATAGAATACTTCCACAATGGCTATATGTATATCTCCAAAACATTGTTATCTCTTTCTTATCGCCGCCCTACTGATAACGACAGTCACCACCACCACTTGGCCACAATATTCGTCAGACCTGTTAGTCATATTTGGTAACTGAACAAGGCAACATCTATTTTAAAAACGAAAAAATATCGCGTCAACTCAGAGAAAACATACGAACGATCAAATCTTAACCCATTTCGGAATCTTCGAAAAATGAGAAGTTCAGATTATGTTACCATTTAACATATTAAAAATCTGCTGTCTCTTGGGTCTTATAACTGTGAGTGGTGCAACAGAATTTGTCTGTCCCAGATTTTGCAATTGTGATGTATACCTGAAATTAAATCGGGCCCAATGTAGGTGAGCTCTGAATTTCAAAAGTTTCCATGTGGATTTTATTTTCATTTATGAGAATTTAACTTTTTCGCTACAGCGGAAAAAGGCTTATAAGCGCCGATGTGGAATTAACTAAATTTGTGCAAATTTTGGACTTGAGTCACAATGAAATCACTGCCATTGATAATGCTGTCTTTAAGGTATTTAATAATTAATGTTTACAAGACATTTTTTGCTGACAAAATGTTTTCCCTCCCCTAATTTTTAGAAATATAATCACCTCCGTTATCTGAACCTGTCCCATAATGCCATACAAAATCTGGATCTGGATAGTTTTTCACATTTGAAACGTCTGGAAATTTTAGATCTCTCCTACAATCGTCTTGAATATCTCGATGAGCGACTGTTTGAAAGAAATCGTCATTTGGAAAAACTTAGTTTGGAGGGCAACAAATTCATGTCAATTTCCAATAAGCCTCTGCTGAAAAGTTCTTCTTTGAGAATACTTAATTTGAGAAATTCACAATTAAGTTACATACCACCCACATTGTTTGCAGAGCTGCCCAATCTAACGGAAGTGGATTTATCTGAAAATCTCCTGAACACCTGGCGCGTGGAGGATTTTGCTACACTAAAACATTTATCTGAGGTGAAATTGTCACAAAATGTTTTCAAGTGTTCTGAGGATATACAAACCAAAATCGAAAAATTAAAAACTCAACACCCTGGCATAAATATTGAGCTCAAGGAATGTGTAACTACACCGAAATCTCTCACTCTGGGCAGTGAAAAATTCCAAAAAATGGTAATGTTAGATCAGTCAGTAACCGAATCGGAACCAATAAATATTTTCAAACAATGGCGTTTAAATTTTGAAAGTGAAGAGGAATTTGAGGATGATGATGACGACGGTGATGATCTCAATGGCCGTTTCGATGAGGATGATGACACCACCACAGATCTTGCCAATAATGAATGGCTTCGCTTTGCTCCCGATGCCGTTTTGTGTGATATCCAAAAGCCTAAACTATGCCATAGTTATCGCCAATGTTTGGTAAATCTAAACACAGCTTGGCATGAAAAACGCTCCATGGAATCATTTGTCTCAAGCGAATCAAAATTTGCCTTCTTTTTGGGTGCAGCTTGTGGCATAACTGTTGTGATATGTATCCTAACCTGCTCTCTGTGTGTGAAAAATTGCTGTGAATCGAAACGAAAAGGTGAGAAACTTTGGTTAAATTTCATCCAAAACAATGTGGTGAATCCGTTTCCACCTGCAATGTTTTTTACAATGCTACTCAAAATGAGTTGCATTATGTTAGTCATTAATGTTCCAGGGAATGCGTTAACCGATTTTTTTCTGCGTACTTATATGAAAGGTGATGGCAATACCAAGGGCTATATATGTATACACGGTCTTAAAGTGTGGTTCGGCCGGGCTGAACTTTTTCTATCCTCCACCATTTGGAAGAAACTAGAAAATTTTCAACAAAAAAATCCGTCGAAAAATACCGCTCAACTGAAAACCGTTATATGAGGGCTACATGATATCGTGGACCTATATAGCCCATCTTCGGGCCTGCAGACAAAAGACATATGTTTGCTGAATTTTAGCTTCCTATCATAATTAATTCTGACTGTAGCGTGATTACAACAGACAGACGGACGTCTTAGAATTTTGCGCTCATCAAGAATATATATAATTGTTGGGTTTAAAATTATTATTTCGAAGCCATAATTTTGACATTTTTTTTTAAATATTGAATGAAAGAAAAAAAATTTCGGAAATAGCATCAAATTTTAGAATAAGTTTAGATTTGCTCGAATTGGCCATTGGAACCATCAAACAATGTCCGAATGTTGCTCCCTCCCAATACCTCCCTATATACGATATTTTGATGAATTTAGCTACATTATTCACAGTTTATTTAAAGTTTCAAATTGTAATTTGGTAACCAATGCCTATGTAGGTCCACGTCGTATAGACACCAATATAACGGCTATATTCGGTATTTTTTAAATATTAACAGAATTTTTTAAGGTTTTTATTTCCAAATTCGTTCCAAATGGTGGAGGGTATTCAAAGTTCGGCCCGGCCGAACTTACTACTTTTTAACTTGTTTAAATTTCAATCTGAAAAAATGTCGGAAATACCATCAAATTTTAGAATAAATTTAGATTTGTTCAAATTGGTTATCTTTGGCCTTCAAACGGCCAATAAAACCGTCACATGCTGCCCGAATGTTGCTCTGCGGTATTTTGGCCCATTCCCGGCAGAGCGCTTGCTTGAGGTGATCGACACTGTGGAATATTTTAGTGTCAACCTTGCTTTCCAAAATACTCCAGACACAATAGTCGAACGGATTGGTATCCGGAGATTTTGGTGGCCATTGAGCGCTGGAAATGAAGCGAGCAACCTCATTTTGTAACCATTCTTGGGTGGCGCGTGCTGAGTGCGATTGTGCTCAGCCCTGTTGGAATTTCCAGGGTCTGCGGCCAAAATGTTTGAGTGCCCAAGGCTTTAATACAACCTCCAGAATTTTTTCACGATAATATTCGGCATTTATTCTGATGACACGCTCGATTAATACGAGCGGAGAGCGACAATCGGCTGTTATGGCGGCCCACACCATCACCATGGCCGGCGCTTGAGTTCTGGTGGCCAAACGAAGGTGCACATTTTCAGCTGACCTCTTTGGCAAGTAAACACGTTCATTTTGTTTGTTTACAAACTGCTGGACAATGAATGTTTCCTCATCGGAGAAAACCAAATTCGGCAGTTTGCCACTTTCGGCCAAGCAAAGCAACTCTAGCTCTTTTGAGTCTATTTTCTTTCTGTTGCGGTGTAAGTTCTTGCACTTTTTGGAATTTCAATGGCTTTACCCCGAGCTTATTTTTCAATATTTGCCGAATGGAATATTGCTATATGTTTACCTCACGAGCCATTTTTCGGCCACTGTGACGTGGGTTACGATCAAGTCGCTTCTTTATTTTCGAACCTTTTCTGCTGATTTTGCTGTTTTCATCTGTCCACTTCCTTGAGATTCGGGCTACGCTACCAGTATCACGGTAACGAGCGATGGTACGAGACACAAAAGATTTATTCACATTTAAATGCTGGAGTGCTCTAACGATAGCCACTTGTGGTTTTCCAGCCAAATATAAAGAAATCACAATATCACGCTTGAACTCCATCACAAATAATTTTTTTTCTTGAAAATTCTCACTAAAATTATTTTGTACGCTTGTAAACAATTTAATGAGTTGTCACTGAAATAATTTTAACAGCTGTCGGACGAGTGGCTTAGAAATGACAGAAATCTGAAATTGGCTGCAGTTTTTTCATCTCACCCTGTATACCGCAATTGTTCAAATATCGTATTCATAATTCGTAATAGTTACTACAGCCTTTTATAAAAATTTTGGTACACGCCTTTATATAGCTCCCATATAACAGTATCTACCCATATTCGGTATTTTCATGATTTTAGAGACATTATTCACATACCTATGCAGAGCCACGTCTTTCTGTTTTCATTTATTATTTTCTATTTTCATTTAATCGGTAACTTTCATTTTTTATACCCTCCACCATACTATAGAGGGTATGTTAACTTTGTCATTACGTTTGTAACTCCTCGAAATACCCATGTCAGACCCAACAAAGTATATATATTCTTGATCAGCGTAAAATTCTAAATCGATTTCGCGATCTGTCTGTCTGTGTGTGTCTCTGTCTGTCTGTTGTAATCACGCTCTTAGCGTCATTATTCAAATTACGTATTTAGAGTTCAGAATGGGAACTACAGTCTTTGACAGAAAATTTTCTTCGTATAGGCCCTACATATCGGTACCTCCCTATATTCTGTATTTTGAGGATTTTTAGTACAATATTCACCGAAATTGTTTGAGATGTCGTATTTGAAATTCGTAATGAGTGACAGGTCTTCGTATAGCTTCGATATAACCGTACCTCCCTATCTATATACGGTATTTTGATGATTTTAGCTACATATTCACCGTCTACTTCAAGTTTCGAATTTGAATATGGTAAAGGCTTATCACAAACAATGCCTATGTAGATCCACGTCGTATAGACCCCAATCTAAAGGCTATATTCGTTATTTTTAAGAATTTAACAAAATTTTTAACCGATTTTATTTATTTTTTTGAGAAAAATTCCAAATTCGTTCCAAATGGTTGTCGTTGTTTTTTTTTAATTTTTAAAATTTTTTCCAATTGGTGGATGGTATTAAAAGTTCGATCCGGCGGAACTTAGACGCTTCTTTACTGGTCTTTTTTTGTTCTTAATGAAGACAAATGCAGATTTTTCGTGAATATCTTCAATGAATAAAAAAAACAGTCTAGCTATCAACGTTTCGTTTGCGTAAAGATCAAATGATTTCTAATCAATTCGATATCAGATTGCTTTTTCCCTCTCCTGGGAGCGAAAAAAATCAAGAGTTCTCTCTTTTGTCTCGTTTTAGCAATATCAAACACATGCACACTAAATTGAGCCAACGAAATTATTTTTTCCGCTCGATTTTACTCTTAGAGTGAAATATTACCCCATTTCGAGCGATTCGAGCTTCGTACAAAACTCACACTCTTCGAGCACATCCGCAAAGGAAGAAGTTTCACTCCTAAGAGAAAACGAGCAAATCTGTGCTCTGATTTTGTATAATAATGCTCCTCGCAATATATTCATTAGTAATGTCAAGGGAATCTCTTGATTTTCTAATCTGCAACAAATGCAAATCGAGAAGAAAAACGTTTTTACCATGACTACTCTGTTTTTATTATGTTTTTAAGTACCTTTTGATGTCATCAATATGAAAAAAAGAAAAGCAAGCTGTATATATCCCAAATTTATACAAAACCCTACAATTGTATTTAATTTCAGCATATTGCACATCCCCATTGCATGTGTTAAACGCGTCCGATTTTAAATATGAAATTCAGTCTAATTATGACAATGCTTCTATTGTTATTGGCTTTTATGTTTTCATACATATCGTTCATATTTCCAATTATTTTATGCGGTTTTAAGGACGTGACCAACTTCTTTCGATTCTCGGAAATCCAAATCGTCAATTATACATATATCTTTTATTTTAATATATAAAAACCCAACTCAAAACAATCTAATCTTCTTACAGATCGTTTAAGCCAAGTGGAACATGCCGAAAACGATGATAACGACGAAGTGAATACTCAACCGCTAGCACGTCAACAACTCCCGCCCCATGTTAGGCGACAACCAAGACGACGCCCTGCCACCCATCCTCCACAACGTGCACCGGTCATACGCTATGAAGGTCCTGTGGCCGAAAATTTCTTATCCCGTTTATTTGGACGTCCGGCACGTCGCCAATATTATCGAACCATTAATCAAAACACAGCCACCCTGATTAGACGTTTAAGTCGCAGTAATTTATTTAACAATCGCTTAAGTCAACATTTTACCGAGAGACAAAATTCAACGGATGTCAACAATGCGGAGGCGAACACTTACTCACCATCGGCCCCTAGACCAGAAACACCACCACCATGTTATGGTGATGTGGTGCGGGTCAGTGATTGTGAGGAAGGACGAAAGTAGGCAAATTGAATGATGTAAATGAAAATGGATAAAAACGAAAGTTTATTGAAAAACTAAAACTGAAATAAAATTTCAAACAATTATCAATATGTATTACAATAAAAATACTAACATACGACGTTAAATAATTACACTGTACAACACAAAAAGACTGCGTCGAGAATTATGAAAGTAGAGTTAAAAAAGAGACACGTGTATCGTCCTTTTGAAGGAGAGCATCACAAATTCCCCCCTTTTTGGAAAATTTCGGACCAAGATTCTTCGAAATCCGTGCATTTTAGATTTATAGTGTCTTCGGCAATATTGCAAATAAAAATATGAAAAATATGTCAAAAAACTTTACCCTCAAGGGAGTCAATAAGGAATACGTTTTGCTTTTTTTTTTTTTTCGATATGATTAAAAACTACTATAGTTACTAGAAAACGTCTATGTAAAAATCTCCAACAAAGCATAATTTTAGAAGGATGACGTCAGAAACGATTATGTTCTACATAAAATTTCATTAAAAATCTCAGAATAAACCATATAAATAGGTACAAAAGTTTTTATGAAAATTATAAATATCCTTTTATACTTGATTTTTTTTGCCATAGGTGCCATGACAAAATATCATCAATTTTTATTAATAAAAAAGTAAGGTTTATATATGAAAAATAATACTCCTTTTCCCAATTCGTGTGTGTTTTGGAAAATCCTAAGTGGACTTTATATAACTCGTTTTTCGATCAAAACCCCTTGGGAGTTTCGGGTTCTAAGGCCCAAGTTAGTTAAGACCTTTATATTGTTTTTACTTTATACAAAGAAACTCCTATAGTTGAGGTACATTTCGCAAAATGTATGATAGAGCTTTGAAATTTTTTAGAAATTCTAGGATTATATCCAGAATCATTGCTACAGAAAATGAGTCATATCCATCCATTTTTTTGATTAGCCCCCATGGTAGGAAAATTTTCGATAATTTTTTACGACTATGCTATATTTTGGCAAATATTTTGGATCGGCCGAACTTAAATCCCTTTCTACGTGGGCTTTAACTTCGGCCGAGCCAAACTTATTATACCCTCCACCACGATGTTTATCAAAGCAAAATGAAATAAAGAGTACAAAATGTTAACTAAGAATATCAATCAGTTTTAATTAAAATAAAACAATTAACAGGTATCAGTCGGTTTTTGCCGACGGGTACCCTCAGCTATTGTCCATTTATTTAAACATATTTTGGAATCCGCATTTATTATACATCATGTTGAGCCTTTATGGGGGAGAATCCGAAGGAGTTGGACAACATTTGATAAATGTATAATATAAATATTGCAACGTGCCGTATTAGTTCTATGTCACTTGATATGAGATATGTGAAAATTTTTAGAGAATTGTGTATGAGGTGTCAGATGAAATTTTTTACTTTTTGTGGGGGAGGTATCAGGTATTAGAAGGAGTGGGTAGAAACATTCATTCACATCAGATATCTTGTTTAGGGAAATATTAAGATATACCAGGTTTGAATGGAATCGCTGACTAATTTCGTAAGTTATGTGATATTTAATTATTTAAAATTGTTATAGCTTGTGGGGGAGGTACCACAAATATCACACCATATCTTGTGTTAGTAGAAATATTAAAATGTGTGAAGTTTAAAAAGAATCCGATGCTTATTTCGCATTTTTATGGCGTTTTGTTATTAAAAATTTGTTCCCTCTGTGTGGAAAATACCAGAAGTAGTAGAAATATTGGGATGTGTGAAATGTTAAGAGAGTCGAATGCTTATTTTGCATTTTATGAGGTAAATAAATATTCAACATTTTGAACCGGGAGGGGGTATCAGAAGGTGTGGACCGATCTCTGTCATCTTTATAACAGATTTTGTCTTGACGGATATATTGAGATGTACTAAGTCTGAATTTTGAGTTTTATGAGATTCATGGATATTCAAAATTTCGACAATTTATGGGGGAGGTACCAAAAGTAGTGCACCGATACATCCCATCTTCGCAGCAGATCTTGTGTTAGTAAAAATAATGCGAGAACCGGATGCTTATATTGGATTTTATGCTCCTTTGGTAATTCAAAATTTTGACCATTTGTAGGGGCGGTAAAAGAAGGAATAGTCCGATCTTCACCAACTTTAGAACAGATCTTGTGTTAATGGAAATAATGAAATGTGCCAAGTCTAAATGTAATCGGATGTAAATTTTGCGTTTTATGAGCTTCATGGATATTAAAAAATTGACTTTTCGTATGGGGGTAACAGAAGGAGGGGTCCAATATATTCCATATTCACACCAGACCTTGGGTTAATAAAAATATTGGGATGTGTGAAATTTGAAGACAATCGGACTATCACATCACATATTAAAAGGGTTATAATTATTAAATATATTGAACATTTGTGGGGAAAGGTACTTAATGGAATGGACCGATATTGGCCATTTTCGCACCTGACTTAGCAATGATGCAAAAATTAGGATTTCCGAATTTGAAGCAAAATCGGATTATCCTTTCTCATTCTGTGCAATAAAATATTTTTTATTTCTTTTTTGAAAATTTCGACCTATTGCGGGGCAGGTACTGGAAAGAGTGGACCAATATTGCCCATCTCCAAACTCGATCTAAATTTGATAATAATATTACGGTATACCAAGTTTGGATCAAATCGGATACTCCCTTCGATAGTTATTGTGCGCACCATCCTGACAGACGGATGTACATCGTTAGATCGACTTCAAATGTCCTGAAACGGATATTTTCCACAGAGACTTAGTATCTAAAAGCGTTATTTCCATGAGGCACGTTTTGGTCGTATCAAATGATATGTAGCCTCTCTAGCCATATGACTGAGGGTATAAAAATAACATAAAATAACGAAACCCATATTATATTTGGTAAGAAATTGTGGAAGAATACTTCAAAATACTTAAAATCGGAAGGTACCGTTATATGGGGTCTATGCTTTGTTCAAAACTCTAAATTAAATTATGTGGGTTCTAGCGTGATTTCACTAGACAGATAGGCGGGCATAGCTAATCGAAATCGAGAATTTTACGCTGATCAAGAATGCATACACTTTTTGGGGTCCCGACGAATATTTCGTTAAAATTATCAATATAGGCCCACCTTTTGTATATCCCTTATAGAGGCGTTGAACACTTCTTCCATACAAATCGCAATGTAGGTCCATGTCCCGTTCTACGGTCCATACACATAATGCTCCTGATTTCAATAATTTCGAGGTTCTTCACCATATTGCCCAGATTTTGTTGACTGGAGAGTTAAATTTAAATCAAAGGGTATTTTTGGTCCCTCAATTATACATTCTAATATTAAATTTTCCACAGCTTCCGCTTGATTATTCTTTCAAGAAATTTCTCTGTAAATAGTGTCAAAAGAATTTAATTTTTTCGATATTTATTCACAACTGTTTACGTATTACAAGGCCCCTAAACATAGGTTCCAATTTATGTGAAATTTGTACGAAAAAACCCCAACTATAGAATCAACTAGTCGATTTAGTTTGACACTAATCAGTTGCATTCACATGAATATTAATAAGTTTAATTTCTAGGTTTCAAGCACTTCAAATGCCAAGAATGTTACCCTTTTTACTACTTCTTGTTATAATTGAATTAAATGCGTAACCCACATGCAGTCCAGATAAGATTTGGTCATCGCGTGTTGATTGCAATCAACAATAAATTTACAGTCTAGAATCCTCGATAAGAGTTTCTTCAACTCTATTTTATATAAAAAAATCAGACATTTATCAAAATTGTTTTCCTATAAATTACCCGATTTTGGGCCACAGTATTAACACTCGAGTCTAGAAATTTCAGCGAAGAAAATCAAAGTAAAAACCGCCACTCCACAATGCCAACAACATTATTCACATTTGCCACAACAATCACCGTATTTTTGGCAATTTCATGGTCTGCGCTGTCCATCGAGACCTACGATGATTATCAAAATCCCGAACATGCCGATTTTATCGAAGGAGATATAATGCCAGACTTCCCCACACGCAATGGTTATCCCAATCGAAAATGGTTTAATGGAGAAATTAAATATGTTTTCAGCAGCAATTTCAGTAAGTTACCACTTGGCAGGATCTGCACATGCTTAAGTATTTATGCGTTTCCTTTATTCCAGCTGAAGCTCAAAAGGAACCCATTCGCCAGTGCTGTCGAGAGTTGGCAAATCGTACTTGTGTTCGTTGCCGTGAAACTATACCTCTAGACATTGGTTTTGTCTACTTCAAAAATGAGCCAATCGGTTGTTTCTCTCAGATCGGTTTCCAGCACTCATGGTACCAGATAATTAATTTAGGACCCGGTTGTCTGAAAAATTACATTCTGGTTTGTCACGAGATCATACATGCTCTGGGCTTTGACCACAGCCACAATGCCTACAATCGGGATGACTACGTTCGAATTAATTTCGAAAATATCAAGGAAGGACAGGAACATAATTTCCTCAAAAAAAATGACACATATGATTGCCTAGTGCCGTATGACAGAGAGAGTACAATGCATTATGGCCCACTTACCTTTTCGAAAAATGGCCTGGAAACTATAACACCATTGGATGGAAACTATACGGGTATGGGACAACGCAAAGAACTGAGGCAATCGGATATTGACAAAATTAATAGAATGTATTGCTTTAATAATTGTACGGCAACAACGAATACCACCACAACAACAACAACCACAACCGTGGCTACCACCACAACATCGGAGGAGCCAACAACAATTGTATAGGCCAGCAATCTATGCCCGTAATTTATGTAATTTAGAAGTTAAGAAATTCCCTGCTAAGGATGTAATAAAAACTATAATCGAAAATGTGTAAGGCTTTAATTACACTGTGCAACAAAATTTAATTTTTTCAATAACTAGGGGCAAATTGAGCAGAATTTGAAAGTAGAGCAAAAACAAGACGACACGTGTATCGGCGTTTTGAAAGTCTGCATCGCACAGTAACCTAAAAACAAAACAAACTACCCTTTTCAACCGTGATTTTTAGGTATATGGTGTCTTTAGCAATATTGCAGATAAAAATATGAGAATATTTTTTTCGAAAGTTTAAATTCTCGTGCGAGTCAAAAATAGGTCTTTTTGTCCGTTTTTTTAAATACGGTTCAAAACACCATTTAAACGGATCGTGGCAAGTCTTATTTGTCATAATATTCTACTATAGGTTCTAGAAGACGTAAAAGACGTAAAGTCTTACATAAACGCCAGGATTCATATTTATTAAAGAGACAGTTTTGGGTTAAAGGCATACCTTGTGTGAGTTTGTGTATAAATCTCCAATAAATCGTCATTTTAGAAGGATGAGGTCAAAGACCAAAATATTCTTTATCAAATTTCACTATAAGTTACTAAAGAAAAGAATTCTCTATTTTCATTGTATACCAAAAAAAAACATGATCGTTTCCAAAAAATCAAAAAAAGTCCTTAATTTTTTATCTATTTTCCCCGGCCTTGTTTCATTTCCACGACAGAAACTAATTAGAATTTTATTTTAGGCGGATGGTCAAAAGAAGAAATATTCTCCCCCAAATGTCCTTATAAATTTTAGAATAAATCGTATATCTAGGTACAATAATTTTTAAGAAAATAGCCGGTTTGGGTTGTGAAAATGCCCAGTAGACTTTAAAAGACGTTCTGGGTAGTGGAATTACGGTTTTAGACCCTAGGTCTCTTTGGACCAAATCCGTTTCAGAACATTTGGAGTCGATCTAGCCATGTCCGTCCGTCCGTCCGTCCGTCCATCTGTCTGACTGCTAAGAGTCCACGATATCTCTCGAAAAGAGTATTCGATTTTACATCGTAATATTTTTGTCAAACTTATATCGAGTTCGGCGATGGGCAATATCGGTATACTCCTTCTGGTACCTCCCCCACAAAAGTTCGAAATTTTCAAAGACTATATTTTCTGCACAAAAAGGGAAAGGTTAATCTGATATTGCTCCTCACCCACAAAGGGTTAAAATTTTGAATAAGTACAACTTTAATTAGTTGTGATGTAAGAGTTCGCTTGTCTGCAAATTTCACGCATCCCAATATTTATATTAACCCACGGTCTTGTGCTAAAATGGAATATTTCGGTACACTGCTTCCGGTACCTACCCCACAAATTTTCGAAATCTTCAAAAAAAAAAAATAGATTTTCTATACAGCAAACGATAATCCGATTTTGCTCTAACTTTGCAAATCGTTATATTTGCGTCACTTCTAGGTCTGGTGCAAAAATTAATAATATCGGTCCACTATATCAAGTACCTCCCTCCAAAAGGGTCAACATTTCGAAAATTTTAAAACACTTATAAAATGTGACGTAAGAGACTGATCGTCTTTAAATTACACACATCAAAATATTTTTATTAACCCAAGATCTGGTGTGAATACGGAATATATCGGTCCACTCCTTCTGGTAACTCCCCCATAAAATGTCAAAATTTTGAATATCCATGAAGCTCATAAAATGCACAATTAACATCCGATTCCATTCAGACTTGGCATATCTTAATACTTCCACCAACATAATATCTGTTATAAAGATGGTTGAGATCGGACCATTCCTTCGGGTACCTCCCCCACAAAGAGTCAACGATTTAAATAAACAAAACGATTATGAAATCCGAAATAAGCATCCGGTTCTCTCCATATTTCACACATCTGATTATTTCTACCAACACAATATATGATATGAAAATGGCATATATCGGTCCACTCATTCTGGTACCTCCCACACAAAGGCTCAAGATGTTGAATATCCATGAAGCTCATAAAACGCGCAAAGAGAATCCGATTGCTTTCAGACTTGGTATATCTCAATATTTCCATCAACACAAGCACTGTTATAAAGATGGTAGCCTCCCCCACATAGTGTTCAAGATTTTGGAAAACAAAACGGTCAGAAATGCGAAATAAGCATCTAACTCTCTTGAAATTTCACACAAACAAACATTTTTTCTAACACAAGATCTCTTGTGAAGATGCTATATATCTGCGAACCCCTTCTGTTACCTCACCCACCCTCCTCATTAAAAATTATCACATATCTCATGTAAAGTAACGGAAGTTATCAATATAGTCCAAACCTGGCACGTCGCAATACTTAGTTCATATTTATTTTGGTACTATACGAAATGTACAATATTGTCAAATTCTTTCAAACCCCACTCCATAGAGAAGTCAAAATATTTTTAAATGATAAGGGGATTACATCTGTCGGCAAAACCAACCGATACTCTTGTTAGCTTGCTTTTCGTGGTAGACTATCACCACGCCTTTTTAGCTTTATTTAGATAATCTACTGTTTTTCCCCCGTTATTATCGAATAAAAATGGCATTTTGTCGCACGGTGTAACATAATTTTCGGTCCATATTGCTGTATAAGTCTACATTGCTCGCCTTAAACATATATTGGGTGAAATTTCGATTACATTTTTAATATTTTATTTATTTTACTGTAATGACGCCTCAACATTTTGAGTCTTTGTAAATTTCCCCCGAAATTGGATGTTAAGAGTTGCTGAATGTATTCCTGTCACAACAGTCCAGTTATTTGCAGTTATCTATTGATTTCGGGAGTCATGAATTATATATTAATCCAAAACAGTGAATTTGCTTCGTTCGTTTTTATTAAATTTTTAATAATTATTTTTTTTTTTAATTTGTTAATAATTAAAAGTTTAATTGCGTACCTCTACCACACAATATGGTATGAATATTAAAATGAGTTTAAACACAAAAATTAAAATCTACTATAATATTGTTGTTGTTGCAGCAGTTGTTGTGGTTGTTGAAGTCGTAGTATTTGTCGTTGCCGTACAATTATTGAAACAATACATTCTATTAATTTTCTCAATATCGGAATCCGCAATTCTATTACGTTGACCCATTCCCGTATAGTTACCATCGAGTGGTGTTATTGTTTCGTTGCCATTTTTTGAAAAGACATAGGGTCCATAGCCCATTGCACTTTCTCTGTCATAGGGAACCAGACAATCCAGGGAATCTTCCTTTTTTTCGAAATTATACCCATTTCCTTCTTTGATATTTTCGAAATTAATTCGAACGTGATCATCACGATCATAGGAATTGTGAGCATGGCTGAAACCTAAAGCATGAATAAACTCATGACAAACTATGACATGATTCTTTAGGCAATTGGGTCCCAGATTCATAATCTGTACCCATGTATACTGGCAGCCGACTTGAGAGGAACAACCCACCGGATCGTTTTTGATGTACACATATTCATAGTCCAGAAAAATAGTTTCACGGCAACGAACACAAGTTTTGTTCTCCAGTTCACGGCAACACTGGCGAACCGTTTCCTTTTGAGCTTCAGCTGAAATGAAGGGGATAAATAAATATTGGCCCATGAAAAACCATTTGCAGGTGTTGCTTACTAAAACTACTGGAGAAGACATATTTAATGGTGTTATTTGGCCATTTTCGATTTGGAAAACCATTGCGTGTGGGAAAATCTGGCATGATATCACCTTCAAAGTAGCCAGCCATTTCGGGGTTATGATCATCATAGTCGTTCTGCTCAATGGACATTACAGCCCAGGAAATAGCCAAAAATATGGCTATTGTTAAAATATTTCGTAGCAAAGTTTTGGACATTTTTAACACTTTGACTTTCTTGATTTGAAGTTTGTATAGAATTGTAAAACTTTTGGTAATATTTTGGCCATTTATATTCCAAAACAGTGGGAGTTGCATTGTGCATTTTTTTAATAATACAAAAGGGTCAAATTATTGCCATCGGGGGAGAGACAGAAAATCATTTGCTGATTACAATCGATCGTGGAATAAATGTTGGTAGCCACTTGCAATCTTATCATGGCTGCAGATGGTTTACCCATTTAATTCAAGATATAACAAGGAGTCGTAAATAAAGGGTAACATTCTCAGCCGGTACACGTGCCCGACGCAGTTATATATGTTATGATTTTAAAGAAGAAAGCATTACCCCTTTGAGACCTAACATACTGGGAGGTCTAAATTGTTTTTCCCTTTTTTCAAAAATTTCGGCTTAAGATTGATAAAAATCTGATTTGCTTTGATCTCGTTTAAAAAGAATTTTTAACTATATTTTGAAAAATGAACCAAGACAACCCATTTGGTGACTCGATTTAGGGTTAAAACTCTTGACCTTAATAGAGATATTATCCAAGAGACTATATAGGGTGAAATAAAAAACTGCAACAAAGTCAAATGCCATAGTTTTTACATTTTTTGTTTAAATTTTATTGAATGAAAGCAAAAAATGTCGGGAATAGCAGCAAATTTTAGAATATGTTTAGATTTGTTCGAACTGGTCACCTTTGGCACGAATTATGATCTTCAAACGGCTAATGAAACCGACACACTCTGCCCGAATGTTGTTCTGCGGTATTTTGGCCCATTCTCGGCGAAGCGCTTGCATGAGGTGATCGACACTTTGGTAGTTTTTAGTGCCAACCTTGCTTTCCAAAATACTCCGGACACAATAGTCCAACGGATTGGTATCCGGAAATTTTAGAGGTCACTGTGCGCTGGAAATGAAGCGAGAAACATCATTTTGTAACCACTCTTTTTGCTGAATACGATGGTGCTGAGTCCTGTTGGAATGTCCAAGGTCTACGGCCAAAATGTTTGCGTGCGCAAGGCTTTAATACGCCCTCCAGAATATTTTCGTGGTAGTATTTGACATTTATTCAGATGCCATGGTCGATTAATACGAGCTGAGAGCGATCATCGGCTGTTATGGCGGCCCACACCATCGCCATGGCTGGCGCTTGAGTTCTGGTGGCCAACCGAAGGTGCACATTTTCAGCTGACCTCTTTGGTAAGTAAACACAATCATTTTCTTTGTTTACAAACTGCTGGACAACGAATGTTTTCTCATCGGAGAAAACCAAATTCGGCAGTTCACCTTTCGGCCAAGAGGAGCAAATCTTTAGCTCTTTTGAGTCTATTTTCTTTCTGTAGAGGTGTAAGTTATCGCGCTTCTTGGAATTTCAATGGCTTTACCCCGAGCTCATTTTTCAATATTTGCCGAATGGAATCTAGCGATATGTTCAGCTCACGAGCCACTACGACGCGGGTTTCGATCAAGTCGCTTCTTTACTTTTCGAACCATTTCTGCTGATGTTGCACTTCCTTGACGTCGGGCTACGCTACCAGTATCACGGTAAGGAGGGGTGGCATGACCACAAAAGATTTATTCACATTTCAATTCTGGAGTACTCTAACGATAGTCACTTGTGGTTTTCCAGCCAAATAAAAAGAAATCACACTATCACGCTTGAATTCCATCACGAATACATTTGTTTCTGGAGAATTCTCACCAAAATGCTTTGGTATGCTTGTAAAAAATATAATGAGCTGTCACTGAAATAATTTTAACAGCTGTCGGACGAGTAGCTTAGAAATTACTGCAGTCTGAAGTTGGTTGCCGTTTTTTTCATATAACCTTGTATATCAAAAATGATCGGATTTTAAGGAATCTGTATCCGACAATTCCAAAAAATGTCGAAGAAGTGGAACTTGGCGCATCCGCTATTTTCAGCTCTACTTTCATAATTATTGTTTCTGTTACACAGCGTAATTGTTTTAGGAGCGTGTTTTGAATGAGAATATCGACCCCCTTTTATGGCACCTTGTTAATTGAATCAAACGCGTAACCCAATATCAGACCAGATAAGATGACTGGAAGTATTTGACTATCGATTGATTGTAATCAACAAATGTTTGTCTGTCTTTCCCATCGATAATATTTAATTGACCCCTCTGAAAAACCCCCAAAAATTCAGTTCCCACAGTTTTGAATATAAATGACTGAATTTTTAACAAAAATAACAACATTTGCTTGTAGTCTTCCAACTTTGAAAGTCTAAGTGAAACACGCCTTCAAAATGTCGAGGACTTTGCTAAGAAATTCTCTAACAATTGCCATATTTTTGGCAATTTCCTGGGCCGTGTTGTCCATTGAGGAGAACGATTACGATGAGAATAATCCCGAGTTAGCTGGCTACCTTGAAGGTGATATCGTGCCCGATTCTCTCACACGCAATGGTTATCCCGATCGAAAATGGCCAAATAACACCATTAAATACGTCTTCTCCTGGAGTTTCAGTAAGTTTCCGCTTGAAATGACTTTCCAGGAACGCATATTTATTTGTCCCCCTCCCTTTTTAGCTGAAGCCCAAAAGGAAACGGTTCGCAAGTGTTGCCGCGAACTGGAAAACAGAACTTGTGTTCATTGCCGTGAAACTATTTTTCTGGATTATGGTTATGTGTACCTTACCAACGAGGAGGGGGGTTGTTTCTCTCAAGTTGGCTTCCAACCCTATCCATTTGCCCAGATTATGAATCTGGGACCTAATTGCCTAAAGAATCATGTCATAGTTTGTCATGAGTTCATGCATGCGCTGGGTTTAAGCCATGCTCACAACTCCTATGATCGTGATGATCACGTTCGAATTAATTTCGAAAATATCAAAGAAGGAAATGAGTATAATTTCGAAAAAAAGGAAGATTCATTGGATTGTCTAGTTCCCTATGACAGAGAAAGCTCAATGGGCTATGGACCATATGTCGGTTCAAAAAATGGCAACGAAACAATAACACCGCTTGATGGTAACTATACGGGAATGGGTCAACGTAAAAGAATTGCAGATTCCGATATTGAGAAAATTAATAGAATATATTGCTACAATAATTGTACGGCAACAACAAATACTACAACTACAACAACCACAACAACTTCTGCTACAACTACAATAACGGAGGAAACTACAACGACGGAGGAAACAACAACAACTATTATGTGGTAGATTTTCTTTGACATTTATCAATGTCATTTATCATTATAATAACAATAATATTTATGTTAGTAATACGCAATTAATCTTAAAGAATTATTTAAGAATTCAATAAAAATAATGAAACCTGTAATATAAACTAAACGAAGGCACTTTTTGAAATTAATATAAGTTAAACTGTATTGATTCCCAAAAGGAAAAAGGATTCTTTGATTCTATTGAACTGTTTGTCAGATATGAATTCAGGAATTCTAAACATCCTATTTCACGGGAAATTTTAAGAGGCCTATGTATAGGCCTTTTTATACCCTCAGCCATATTGCTAGAGAGGGTATATATCATTTGATACGGCCATAACATGCCTAGATGAAATAAAGATTTTAGACCCTAGGTCTCTTTGGACCAAATCCGTCCCAGGACATTTGGAGTCGATTTAGCGATGTCCCTCTGTCTGACAGTCTGGTGCGCACGATAACCCTCCTAGGAAGTATCCGATTTGTTCCATAATTTGAACATCGTAATATTTTTGTCAAACTTAGATCGAGTTCGGAGATGGGCAATGTCGGTCCACTACTTCTGGTACCACCCCCACAAAGGGTCAACATTTTCATAGAAATTAATTTACCGAATAGAAAGAGAAGGAATAATCTGATTTTGTGCAAATTTCGCAAATCGTGATATTTGCATCACCGCAAGATTGGGTGCGAGAATGGACAAGATTGGACTACACATTCCAGTACCTCCTCCACAAAGGATCCAAATTTAGAATATTTAAAACGCTCATAAAATGCGAAATGTAATGCAGATTATCTTCAAATTCCACACATACCAATATTTTTACCATTACAAAATCGTGTGTAAAGATGGAGTATAGCGGACACCTCCTTCTGGCACCTCCCCCTCAAAGGGTCTAAATTTTGATAATAAAACGCTAATAAAATGCGAATTCAGCATCCGATTATTTTGCACATCTCAGTATTTTAACCATTTAAAGATAGGGCGTCATAATGGGATATACCGGCTCACACATTCTGATACCTCCTCCACGAGTGAGTATCCCTTTAGTCCCTGCTTATGTACTTTTTAAGGTTTCTTTTTATATCCTCGTAGTTCCTTTCTTGAAACACATTAATGTATATTGCAATGTTATTCTTGTAGAGCTTAGTTTTAGTACCCTTTGAGGTCCCTCGTTCTCTTGATTGTCCCTTAAAAAGTAAATTAGATATATGAATTTGGCGTTGGAAAAGTGTACTCACTATGCGGACTGTAATAAATTTGGAACAATTTGGATTAAAGTGAACGGATTTATCTGGAGCTTTGAAAAAAAAAATTGGGGTCCCTGTTGGTAGTAGGTTGTGATAAAGAGGTGGTTTCGGAAATGTGTACTACAAATGCATGAAAAGTACTATATTTCGTACAATTTGGAATTGGGTGAAGAGTAAGTCTGAAATTTGGTATGAGAGTCTCTGATGTTTAGCCGGAATATATGGAGGTTGGATCGGAAATGTTGTACCATAATTGTACGAAAAGAATTGAATGATACTATATTTGGATTTAGGTGAAGGGATAGATATACAAATTAGAAATTTGATATTTAGTTTATTGATGGTATCAGTGTTTTTGAGATTTGACGGCGGTTTGGAAATGTGTCATATATTTGTAGCAAAACTTCTCAATTGTACTTAATTTTGTATTTATATTACGGTCTCTGTTTGTATTTCGTATTGAGATATGTAGTTGATTTTGAAAATACGTACCAAGATTATACTAAATAGTACTAAATTTTATATTGTGTGAAGGAAAAGAGCTGAAATCCTGAAATTTTGTACAGATGTTGGTGTCTGTGGTTAAGTTATGTAGGTAGTTTTGGATATGCATGCTTTTATTGATCGAAAAGAACTCAATGCTACAAAATTGGGTTTTAAGTGTGAAAGGTAAACATGTTAATATTTTTCTTTTCGAAACGGGAAAAACTGCATTAATATAAAAAACCATGGAAATCTGAAAATTTAGTACAATGTATAAAATTTTGATTTAAAAAATTGATCAAACTGAATTAGTTGTGCATTATAGGTACTATACATTCCAAATGTTCTGAACTCCGAACGAACTGCTGGAACGGTACTAAATAAAAAATATCCAAACATTCCGAACTCCAAACAAATTGTTGGAACGAATCCAACATTTTAAGATGGATTTTTCGTTGACAAAGTAGCGGACAATTCCTTGTATAATTTATATATCAATAAAATAAACTAACTAAACTAAAAAACAAGTAAAACAAGCTATTACAATATTCAAGTGCGAAACTTGAAAAAAAGCTAAAATCAACAAAATTCCGAATATAGGGAGGAACTATGGGAGTTGTAAAACGTGGACTTTCACAGACAATTTTTTACCAACTTCAAATGCGAAATTTGAAACAATTCCGGTAAATAATGTCGCTAAAATCATCAGAATACCGAATATCGGGGGGTACCGTTACCGAGGTGTTACATGCGGAATGACTATGGTGGAGGGTATAATAAAATCCGTTAAAAATTATGTTTAAATCTCTTGAAAAATACCGAATTTAGCCATTATATTAGAGTCTATACGACGACGTGGACCTTCATAGGCAACTTTTGTGATAAGTCATTAAAATATTGAAATGCGAAACTTGAAAAAAGATTCGGTGAATAATGCAGCTAAAATCATTAAAATATAGGAATATAGTGAGGTACCATTATATGGTGGCTATACGAAGACGTGAACCTGCACAAACAATTTTCTGTCTTAGGCTATAGTATCCATTTCGAACTTCAAATACCAAATTTGAAACAATTCCGATGAATAATGTCGCTAAAATCATAAAAATTCCGAATATCGGGAGGTTCCGTTGTATGGAGGCTATGCGAAGACGTGGACCTGCACGAACTTCAAATACCAAATTTGAAGCATTTCCGGTTAATAATGCAGCTTAATTCATCAAAATATCGAAAAAATGGAGGTATCATTATATGGGGGCTATACCCATACATTGCCCATTTTACAAACTTAATATACCTTTCGCACTATGGTGGAGAGCATAAAAAGCTTGAAATCGCTACCCTATTTTCCGAACCCTATATTTGCTCATATTACATCTTGTATGAATATGGGAGAGATCACTTCAATACTTTCAGTACCTCTACTTTGAATGGTTGAAGTTTGAAAATGATAAATCCTCAAAAATAAATAAATAGGAAATAATTTTTCATGATAAAGTCACTTTCGACTTTTTACCGCCCCTATTGGAGTGAGGAAATATAGATCCGATTTTTTAAAACCTTATCAACTATTCTGCATGTAGCCATAATCAATTGAATGGGACACTCTTAAATAGATAGCCCCCATTTCACAACGCTTTTGACTTTACATTTATTGCGATTTGGCCCAAAACACACACAAATTGAAACTTTTGCCTTTACAAATAATATCACTTAAAGTTGTTGTCGTTACCCGCTTGGTTTTTTTTATTCAGCTTTACTTTCGCATTATTTTTGCAAAGAAAATGCGACATTCTCGTTTCGGAATTTCGGTGTCGCTTGCTGCTGTCAGCGTTGTTATTATCACTGGCACTACGGACTAGCCCGGCCAAAAGTTTGCGGCTGTTGTGGCTGGTGTGAATTCTGAATTCGGATACGGCAGTGATGCTGTTGTTTGTTGTTTTCAACAAAGGATTATGCAAAAAAGTTTTTCATTAATTTTTGAATGTTTTTCGCGAGTGAGCGAGCGAATGAGAAAAACGGCTACCATCGTTGTCGCTGCAAAATGTTTGAGTTTGGCCAATGGCGGTGTTGTTTGCTTTGCAATGGAAAAAGTTTTGGGCTATGTTTTTTTTTTTTTTCATGTACTCCCTACATTAGGTATTAAATAGTTTTTATTGGCAGATGATAAGACACATGATTGTTAAACAAAACCTTTTAAAATAAGAGCTTAAGATCTCGACACTTGGGTATAAGAAGTTATTTTGTCATAGGAGTTATTTTTAAAATTAATCCTGGGGAGAATATCCCAGGCAAAAAACAAGGGATCTGATGAGGATTGGTGGCTCTTTCTGAATCCTAGGTTTTCCCTGCCTTACCCCCTGGTAAACATTACTATCTTTCTCAACTAATACACAAAAAACAACAATAATGGGATTAAACCTGACTATTTTGCAACAACAATAAGAAAAAAATATATTTTTTCTATGCAAAATTGAATCTTAACTTACATTATTCAATAATTGTCATAATTTTTTCCCGAGGATATAACGTAACAAGTTGTATAGAATTTTTGGCATTGATGTGTAACTTACCTGAAAAATAAAAAAAAAATATTTAAAATTAATTATATTGAAGTAATAAGTAATGGATACAACATATAATACTTTTCTAAAACAAATATAACAATGAAAATCAACAATTAAAAAACAAAAAATGTTTTTCCAGAAATCCCTTGAAAAAAAATTCTTAGAAACATCATGATTTATACCAAAATGTCCTCATAAAAACTACACGCTTTTGTCTAGAAAAATTGTAAAATATATTTTTAAATATATACAGCAGAAAAAGTTTTAAAATTTACGATTGCAGCCCTGATAGTTTTTGGTACTTATTCAAAAAAATCCCTATATCTGACAAGAAAGCCACGAAACAAATATTTAAATAAAAAAATAGCATCTGGTCACAGTGAACAGTGAACATTTTTTTCAAATACAGAAACATTGATTCCAAATCGATGAAAATCGAAAATTCAAAATTTACAATTGTTGTCCTGGTTGTTTTTGACAAATGTTTAAAAAATCACTATTCCTTTCAAGAAATTCATTCGATTTATGACATGCCAAAAATTCTCATTGGGTTGGAGCACTATATTTTATATTAACAAGTTTAAAAGCAGTTTAGATTGGAGTGTCCAACTACTAATATTCTTCACCTATTGGGAAAGCAACCGTTCTATAAAGCATCGACAAAAACTGAATAGCATGAGATACATGGCTAGAGAGATATATATCATTTGAT